AATTTGCTAAGTCACGAAGGGGTAAATCTTACTACGCCAGACTTTGTCATAGCAATGAATATGTGATATAGAGAGGTGGAGTTGTCTCCACGGAAAGGGAACACCAACCACATCCATGGCCTCCTATACAACAAGGTGTGATACCAACGACAAATGCTAGCCCTTCTTGTCATAACCGCACCATCAGAGGGTGGTCCTAGTTGTTGTTGCCTGTTGGGCATCGCACCACCATACACGGGCAACCACCAAGGGACTACTGGTTACTACTTGATGGATTTTTATCGTTGGAGGGTAGCCATCCCATCCAATCATAGAGTTGCAACTGTTGCCGACCTCAGGTTGATCACATTGAGTTGCGCTGACTCTTTGTCCATTGCCGAGAGCCAATAAGATAGAATATGTAGAGATCATACCCTTTGTCCATTGTTAGGAGCCGGTGTAATGAAGATATTTAGAAATGTGTACTTTTTGCCCATTGTTGGAGGCTAAATGGGATAGCAAATCAGGCCCATTGTCCATCGCTGGGAGCTGTGCAAATATAGCTCATTGTCCTTTAATGGGAGCCATGTATATGTAACTAAGTCGGCTCTTTATTCATTGTTAGAAGCCACAAGATATAGTAGTAAACATTGCTATGAAGGACATGACCGTCAAAAGTGTCCAGCCATGTCATAGAAATAGATCCAGCCATGTTTGGCCATGTATATGGAGATAACTGTTGGAGTGGGTGGCATTTTACAATATTTGAAGTGAAGTAGATGAATGCTACTTCTGGCGATGGTGACTCTATTGCAATAATCAGTAGAAAATAAGAATAGCATGTTTGATGTGGAAAATAAGTCACATGGGCCCTTGCTGATGTGGAATGACACATGTCATCAATTTCAAGGCCACACAAATTCATCCCTCAACATATAACTAATAAGATTACCATCTTGTCAAAACTGGATCAGGAAATTCATGAAATAACAATTAGAATCATCCCTTGTATAACCCCATCACTTTTCTCACCATGGTCCTAAAATCCATTTCATCTCAAGATTTTAATTAGCTCTATGTATTTCATAAACCTAGCCTTTGATACCACAAAATCTGTCACCCCCCAAAATAGGGAGCAAAACAGATACCGTATACTTGTGAGAAGATCCCACAAATGCACAAGACTCAGAACCTACTTAATTCATTATGTATAATTCCCAATTGGCAATCACTAAACTAAAATTAATATCTCAAAATAAAATTTGACTTTAATAATCAAGGTTATCACTAGGTCAATTGTGCACCAAAAATTTATATAACTCCATTAGTACAGTCATGACTATATCGAAGGGAATTCTATTCTACAAAAGAATGATCTATATTTCAAAATTTATGTCTAACATGATTAGTCTAGCGGAAATTTAAAGTATGCTAGGCAAACATTTTAATTCTAAATAGGAAGAACATCTTAGTTGTACATCATTTACGCATATAAAATTTATTTAGTGGTCTCCTCAATTAGTTATGGCCAATGTATTATCTTAGCTAGCAAGAAAACAGAAATACCAATGTACTCTCCTACTGGCAAGATAACAGAAATACAAAATGCACCAGTCTTATAAATATACATGTCAACATGTGCCAGCGTTTACAACTCCCACTGGCAGGCTTCAAGAATCATGATCATATTAGAGTCAAAACCATGCAAGAGTTAATAGGAAAATCCATAATTTACAATCTAATTTCAAATCATTAGGACAACCAAGTAAAATCCATGTAGGCGTGCTCAACTTAATAAAATAATAACAATTTCATTTCAAACCAATCATGCTCATGTGCTAATGAAAATCAATTTGGGCCCCGCCACCATCTTAAAAATAGTTCAAAATATGCTTTTAAAACCTTGACTTTAAAATCCAAGGGCATTTACCATAGTTTTACTTACCTCACCTTATAAATAGACACAAACAAGGGATTCAAGAACTCAAAGCGGTTAAGGTGATTTAGAACTTATAACACATCAAATGAATAAACAAGATTATGACATACCTCATTAAACTAAATGGGTTCCTAATTCCAAAATCATGTTCCTAACCAGAGAAACAATTTCCTCCTACACATCCTTGCCACTTCTACCCATTGAAACCTTACTAATATATATATATATTCATATGTGTAATCATACTTAAAACATGCTTAAAACAACACCAATTGTCACACAAAATAGCAAGTATTCCAAACAAATTTTCTGGGCAAAATAAAGTGGAAAGATGTGAGAATCCAAGCTCAAAACTATCCCAAACAGTAGCATAAAGGTTGGGCAACAAGGTGGGGGTTTCCACCATTTGAAACAATCCAAAAATATCTAGAAAAAACACCCTAAACAGCAAGGATTATCTAGGCAAAAATGGTAGTGAAAACAGTGCAAAATACAAGTCAAAACTAGGTAGAAATGGACATCATTGAAGTAGAATTTCAATAGCAAAAATCAAGTAGTAACAAGCTGTTCTTATGTACCAATTAGTAGCTAAAAAGTCTAGTAAGACCATGATGCAATGCGGTAGTAGATAATGTGGGAATAAAGCAAAAAACATAGCCAATTTTTGGGCACTTTTGAGGGTAAGTTTTGGTTAGATTCTAAACTGGGACTTTCAACAAAATTTACACCTAGAAATTGACCAATCTAGACTGAGTAATTAACAGATCAACTATAGCCCTATGTCTTAGCTTTCTGTAGAATCAAGAATCACCTTAATCCAACATCCACATAGAAAATTATGGTTAGAATTCTATCATAAGGTCGGGCTACAAGTTCCATCCACCTTCAAGAACCAAACTTGCAGCATAGTTTTCACCTCGGCAACAGCTTAACTGGGTTAAACATCCAACAAAAAAAATTGAAGGGTTATCTCTTAACTTTCCATGGAATCAAGAATGGATTTAATCTGATAGCTACAAAATGAGTTATGGGCAAAATACTACTGCAAGGCCATGTTGTCAAAATTTCCAACAAAAGGAATCAGGTCTAGTGACACTAGATTATGGGCAACAAATCAAGGAGGAAAACTATGGAAACAAATTCCAAATTGAAAATTCTAAAGGATTAGAGTTGACACAATTCAAATCAAAGGTTAAAAGATGAGCATGTGGCTGATTTTTTATTAGAAAGTGCTTGAAAATGGCGGCCTCCCCTTATGCTATAAAGAACCCAACATGGACTAGAAAAATTGGTATCAACAACAAGATCTGAGTTTTGATAATCATTTTGAGAACCATAAGCTCATAAATCTCTAACCCTTGCTAGGAAAAGGAAGAAAAAGGCTAAGTCTTGTTTTTTTTAGTGATGAGGTGTTAGGTGCAAGTTAGGGCTTGTGGTGGCAAAGTATCTAGTGAGGAGCTAGGAAACATGTAAAAAAGGCAAGGAAAAAGGAAAATCAAGCTTAGCCCTTTTTACCAACAGATTTTCTTTTAACACCGCCTTATGTTGGTGAATTTTAATTATTATGCCCAGCACTAATAATTTCTCCTACATAAATCCCTAGCTTAAACTTTAAGATTTCAGAAAATTTTGGGATATCATATATAGAATTTGAATCTGAAGATGATCTAGACAATTTTACATGGAGTATAATAGAAAGGATTCACTACAAACATATGTATCTATAGTGACGGAAGTTTTCTATCTGTATACATCCTTTTTCTGTCAATATAGACCCCTAGGGACTATTTCGACGAAAGAACTTTCAGTCGGTAGAAACCTCATTAGTGTAGGGTCTATGCTAATGCCTAATTCATCTGTATAGACCCTTGGGATCTATTTCGATGAAAGACTTGTCCGTTGGTATAGGCCCTGAGAAATCTTAAGAGATATTTTTGTTAGTATAGATCCTTACCTTCACAAATGGATAATTCAATTGGTATAGATCTTTTTTTTTTTTTTAACCAACCTTAAGGACAATAGTCTGGATCTGAACCAAAACCAAAATCGAAATAAGGTTCAATAAATTTTCCAAGAAAAGCTCTACAATCGATTCTTTATTGGAACCACAAAACATAACTACGTGAAAAGAAAGAGCTCGATATCTCCATAGAGTAATCAGAATGTATCTTTTCATCAAAAAATATAAACCACACTAACCATTACTGTCATCTAGGTACAAAAAGTAGGAATTTTAGTATAGATCTTTAAAAGAAATAGTAGATCTTTAATTACTTTCAGCTAGGTACAACATCAGTATAAATCTTTAAAGGAAATTAGACCTACCAATATTCTAAACACATATTCTTTATTTTCCATCAATATACCAACAACTAACCTTGAAACAAAAGACATGGTCAACACATACAGCAGCTGCTAATGAGAAAGCATAGGAAGATGGTTCATAGCAACTCTCCGTACCACAGCTTCTTTAGCTATTGAAAGCCATCATGGAGTTCCAAAATTTGCAACTTCCCCACAATTAAAACCTAAGTTGGAGCAAAATAAGATTCTTAATGGAAAATTAAGAACAAGAGGAAGGAAGGGCGGAACAAAAGTGACCTATTTTAATGGGAAAATAAAGCGACACTCACCCAAACTTTTGTACAATTTCTAGGTTTTGGTTTAGTTATTGATAAAAATGTAATGAGTATGCATACCTATTGGCTATTAGAAGTGTCACACCCCAGAACCCGAATCCGAGGCGCGACAGACGCCGTGCACTCGTGAGACGGGTCCCACAAGTGCACAAGGCTTGGAACTTGCTGAACAAAATCAGTTTTGATACCATAAAATTTCCAATTAAAATCTAACTTGCAGGAGCGTGGTGTACATGTATCTAAAATCTATGTCAAATCTCAAGTGGCTAGCCTTTTATCACGTCACTCCCCTT